ATCTGAGATCGGCTCGATTTGAGAAAGGGGAAAACATTTAACCAGATTAAAAAAAAAAACCCTGGGTGGATTTTTATCATTATAGGGTGGTTGTGTACACACACTGCCAACACACATTTCAGTTCAAACAACTTGTAAAAGTGCATGTAGCATCCTATGACCCCTTTAAATAAATAGGCCTACATTTGGAAACAGGTGCAGTTAGTCGCCGGCGTCAGTTGCAAATCCTATTATAAAAGTAATCTTTGTGAGGACGACTGGCAAAAGCTGGTCTTAAATTCTTTAGACACCGCACACTAAACACAGACTGAAAACACTGACTGAGCCTTCATTCATAATCGGCCTGACACTAGTAGTGTGTTCATGGCTTACCGAATGAACCGGATCAGCCTGTGCTTGGAACTGAAAAGTCTTACCGTTACTTGCGGGCTGATGGATGGGTTCTCTCCTGCATCAGTGCAGGTTTTTAAGTCCTTTTTAAAGAATTATGTATTGCTGCTGTTTTTCTTACATTTTCTAACACACAACTGCAAATTATAGGCTAACTGAATGGGTGAACACACACAAATTCACAGGCACGACATGCCTGAGACAGCTTGGATAACACCTAATTGCTGTCAAACTCATCAAGGATTATGCAAAAACACATTTTATCTATTTTAGTATTTGAGATGTTGTAATAGTTTTGTAATTGTGTTAAAACAGATTAAACAACAATTATTTAACAAATATTATATTTGTAGCTATAATAAACCGGGGGGAGGGGGCTATTTATCCTAATGGGCGGGCCTATGCCCGTCAGGCCCGTCAGCTGGCTACGGCTCTGGGCCACACTAACAAGACAGGAAGCAATGAAGAGATCAATTACACTGACACAAATGGCAACTCCTCTTAACTACAATAAACTACTGCAATCAGGCAACATGCCATGACTGTTCCTTCAAAATCAAGCACTGTGAAACTTGCTACACAAAACACAAGCACACTGTTCATTACATGGATCTCTAGATGATCTCCAGTCCTAGTAGAGCAAGAATGTTTACCTTCTGGCCTGGGCTTTGGCTTCTCCAAACTGCCATCTTGCATCAGTTCAAAGGAAAATGAAACATTGTGCACCTAATGCATACAATGCAAAACAACACTGTGATTAAGTGACAATGAGAAATTAACAATTTTAATTCAAATAAAATTGAATGTAAATAACGTATAATATATTGGTCCATGAACCCCCAGGAGTCTGTGAAGGTCCATGGACAGATAAATAAAACATAAAGGATTTTCTTTAGGCTTTTATTTACTTTAGATTTACTTTAGGCTTTTATTCACATATAAACATTGATCAGTACACATACAAAGGGAACATCAAATATGGAAAATTAAAGGGCAAATGTGCTTGCTTGAGGTTTGTTGCATGTCACGCAATCAAGTTTAAACTTCCACAAGAATCAATGAAGTTTGTTCTTGCATGCATGGTTGAGCTGCCATTCATGTGCTCTATGTATGTGCGCTAATCAGTGCATATAGAAGACTTGGATTATACAGCTTGATTCATATGGATTACTTTTTAACAATGCCTTTATGAACTTTTTGAAGCTATTCCAGCCTCACTTTTCTCCTCCAGTTAAAAAAACTATCAATAACATTCTAGATTTTTTTTCTTGTTCAAGACATTTTACTTATTAGAAATAAGTCACAATACATAAGTAGAGTTGGTAGCAATTTCTGTTTTCTGCGAAAGGTTATTATGTGTTTAAATTATTAACCATAATTTCACAGTAATTTAGAGTACCTTATGATCAAAATTTTCAGGGATGAGGAAGAAGTTATAGAGGGGCACAAAGTATCCTTCTAGGAGTCCCATCAGTAAGACCAGGTACACGCCATCCGCAAACTGGAGGAGATCACAAAACTGATCAAATTCATTTCAGTTTTTGGATATCTCTCTACTGATATTCAAGTCAAGTTGACTCATGATCACGTTACCTGAGTTTCCAGCTCGGATACCTCCAGATTCAACTTGTTTAAGTGCTTGTTCACAAATGTGATAAGAGTCTAAAAAAAGACCAAGAGATCAGAGTCAAAGAGTCAAAGCTCTCCGTTTGTAAAACGTCTCAAGAAATAGTGTGTAATCTGCACTTGCCTTTTTCACCACATTCAGTTTATCTGGCGCATGGTCAAAAAGTGTATCAAAGGCATCTCGCTCTGTGAATAAGACATGATTTCTTATATGCAAGGCAGCACTAGAGAATTTAAGTCAAATTGTATTTTTATCACTTTACAAAGCATGTTAAGATGAACAGTGGCCCAAAAAAGCATTCGGACACTGAAGCTAAAAATGTCAGAAAGTATTAGATATTAAAAAAAAGATAGTAAACCTTTTCTCAAAACCAGTAGGCAATTAATTTGACCAACTGGTCTCAAGGTGACTTTGTCTATGACTTAATGTATCAGTCTTAAAGTCAGTTCTTAGCAAGTCTCAACTCTCAGTTTGACAACCATAAAGTATCTGTATACTGTTTGTCTCAGTTTTGAGAAGCATATCCATTGGTTTATCATTTAAAACCAGTATTTCTGGTGCAGCACCATTATTTTACAAAATATTTGTTTTTTCTAATTTTGCTGCTCTGCACAACTACTTATTTTTTCTGTCCATGTTTGTTATATATTTTTTCATAAAATTATATAACTATATAATTAATATTACTTAAATATTTTATTAAAGGGGTCATATGATGCAATTTCAATTTTTCCTTTCTCTTTGGAGTGTTACAAGCTCTTGGTGCATAAAGAAGATCTGTAAAGTTGCAAAGACTAAAGTCTCAAATCCAAAGAGATATTCTTTATAAAAGTTAAGAGTCAACCACGCCCTCCTAAAACGCCTTGTTTAAACACGCCCCCACACACCTTGTTTAAACACGCCCCCACACGACGCCCTCTACGTCACGATGTTGGAAGATTTCGTGAAGGCGCTGTGTGTTTCGTTGTGAAAGCGAAACTACTTTGTTTGGCCTTCCAAAAGAGGACGATATCTGCTTCGTCATGCCTAGAGCTGATCCGTGCTGGTTGCTGAGGAAATACATCAACTTCGCGCTGTGGATCGCTGGATCGGCTTTCACCGTGGACGAAGCAGAGTCCAGCCCGGGGTCGTCACATGTGGTTGCCGCAAGCCCGCCTGTCGCTCCTTCGTCAAATCCGCTGGCCGCGCCGTTCTCAAGCCCCGCCCACCACCGCTCACTCTAGGCCGCCGGCCTCCGCTCACGCTAGCCCGCCGTGTGTTTCGTTGTGAAAGCGAAACTACTTTGTTTGGCCATCCAAAAATGGACACGACTAGAAATCAGTGGTTAAGTTGTATTTACAACACTGTTCCAGAACACTTCAACCCAAATATTCAGATGTGTGCAGCACATTTTATGGAGGACTGTTTCCTGATCCTGGAAAAGTAGACTACAATGCCGGCTGTTCTGACTCACAGACTGTAAGTACGTTTTTTATATTTAAAGAATTTGCCACTGACGATTCAAACTAAGTACATTTTTTATATTTAAAGAATTTGCCACTGATGATTCAAACGCGAGTTTTGGGCAGTGTAGAGTAGCGCTTGGTTGTCATTTCTCCGATCACAAATGCAGACATTGTTTTTTGTTTACGCGGCACGATGCAACGCAACGCGTAAAAAGACAGTATAAGTCATTATAATCAGTAATTATGTCCCCACTGGATGCAACAAATGCCTCGTTTATAATGGGTTTTAATGTTTTTGAATCATTGCTCCGGCCTGACAGCACAGGGCATCATCACAGTATGGTAAGGGACGTAACATTTCCGTCACACGCTTGAGGTATTCGGCCAATCACAACACACTGGATAGCTGGCCAATCAGAGCACACCTCGCTTTTCAGACCGATGAGAATTATTATTTTTATTATTAGAAATTAAAAAAAATAAATCTAAATATATATTTAGCTATTTTAAATTTAATACATCTAAATATCTAATGTAGTGGCATTAGTGCGGCTTAATTGTGAAAATATTTTTCGGGCCACTGTATATTAATTTAAGATGTGCAAATTAAATATAATACACACCATATCTTCCAGACGATGCCCTATGAGGAAGGAAAAAAACATTATTATTTCAGTATCAATTTGAGAAACAAAAGAGATCAACAATCTATTTATGTTTGAATGAAAGTGTTTTACAAACAGTTTAAATGGCAAAATAATAACCAAATTCAGAGGGGCGTATCAAGAGTGCCAGGATGAAAGGCAAACAAAAAGATTAGGGGGGAAGAGGATGCTCCAGTCCCAAGAGTGGGCCGATCAACAGAACTGGGTTCCAGAATAATGGCCTAGTGGAAGTCTGCCCAGCAGCGGCTCGCCTCCACACAGTCAATTCTGCCCAGGCAGAGGCATGTCTCAGCAGCTGCTGCCCGAGTCCACATCAGCAGCCAAGGAGCTGCTCTCTGCCTTATCTCTCAAGCTAATTTGAGCCCGCTGGACCGCTGTTAATCAGCAGCAGCAGTGGAGAGCTGGAAGAGCAAGAGCTCCGGTGCTCAACCTCTAGAACCACTGCAAAGCTGCTCAGAAGCAGGAGGATCCAGCTCACAACCGACACACACACACACACACACACACACATGTTGGTATTG